AGGCTGATGGTTGGAAGATGAGGGAGGATCGTGTGGAAGTTATGGTCAGAATTTCCAAGTGTGCTAGTAGACGTTATTGACGGAAACTGAGACTACTAAATTCATTCACAAACAATAAACAGTCATCAGAAAAACTTGCTGAAATATAGTCGACGACTGTTTGATGCATTTATTGAACCTATTAATTTGTCAGGAGGTACTCATGATTATTTAGAATCTATCAATCAATTTGATCGAACATCATTAGATAAACATGGTGAATTTTTATTATTTGACAGTTTTAATTTGATTGTAAGTGACGATCTCTGCACAGAAGAATTTCGGACAAAATTTTATTATGAATTTTGGTTATCTAAATATCAAAAACTTATGAAAAGCAATGTTACCAGCAACAATACTAACAGAAACAATCAATGAGACTTCTTTCTGATTGAATGCAATCAATTATTTGATAACAAATTTAATTCAAATGCAACGAACACATGAAAGTAGTTACATATTTTTGAAAGGACAAATAGAAAATTTTACATTGAAAGACGAATATTTAATCCTTAAAAGCCGAATGTTCCTTCCAAGGAACATTGTGAAACTTCCCATAAAACATTCAATAACATTGCATATACAAAAATGTTTGTTTTCTTTGATTCAGATGACCTTATTGGTCATAAGAAAAGAAAAAAATCAATTCTGAGTAACTTTCAGACGAAGGATGTGTGTGGATGTCGATGAACCAAGATGAGACGACGTCCACACCAACACCCTGAACTAGAAACATTTCACGTCATTGATGAATTTAGTTAAACTGAATTGACAAAATATTCAAGAATACATGAGTGGAGTTCAACGAAACTCGTCATCTTTAACATGAGTTTCTGAGCTTTAGATTCTCGAATACGTTAAAACATACCAATCAATTTTTTTTTCTAATATTAATTGTCAATTTCAAACAAACGTTTTCCATAAGACAAATCTGTTATGTGACCATCCTTACGATGATGATGTCTCATCCAAGAAAATCTCTATAAAACTATCGAAAATATGATTTATGTATCAATCGCTTTTTCAATCATCATAATATCATACGAAGATAATTTGTCTAAATATTAAAAAATATTCTTTATCTTCCTCGAAAAGTCAATCTAATCTTTGATTTTTGTAATGAATTTACGATGTCTCTTGAAATGAAATATAAACAATTATGAAATTTTTGTTATAAGACTGATTGAAAGTTCAATTTTTGATTTAAATGAAAACACTTCTAAAGCAAGATCTCAATACATTTATCTAATTCGAAATGTATCGTCTTCCTAATCTTATTATATGGTTGACTCTTGTTAAAATTTATTTTGAATACTAATTGATTTAGTTGTAGAAAATTTGTTTAAAAAAACTATTTATAATAATGAATTTAATCGTTTTTTGATAAGTTCTTCTATTTTCTTTATTCTAAGCTTATAAGAATTATCGGTAAAACTCGAAATTATTTTTATTTTTAATTTAAGTGCTTGACTGGTTTTTCAAAAAATTCATTTTTTTGACGCAAATTGCCCATTACATACATATTCACGTTCTCATCAACACATGGATAGGAAAGAGTGAAATCTGGAATAAACGCTAATTGTCGTAATCAAAAAAAGAGATAAGCTACATACACTTTTGAAGATAGCGCATGAATGTAGCTTATCTCAACCAAATTAAAACTGAATTAAGAAATATAATTAGTGCGTCTACGTAGAAACGTCAATCGCATTGGTTAATTCACTTGGAATTAGTCTACCCTGGTGAATGAATCCGACAACGAATCCAACATTCGAATTCGATATGCGTGGGTGCATGAAATGTGCGTGGATAAGATATAAGTGAATGATCACATCTATATATATAGGGGTGTCAGTTCACTCACACAGTCATTCACAAGAAAACAAGTCAGAGGTAAGTTGGATAGAGAAGGTCCGAAGAAGTGAGCTCGGTCTGCGAACTCAAAATTTCGAGCTCACTCTTCCATTCGAATACTCTTAATTAGTATTCTTCAATGGATACTCAACTAATTACTACTAAGTTTCCAACGCTAGAATCCGATTAGATCTGTAACACTACGGATTCCAATCTGATTCTATCACCCGGTTTTCAACAATATTCCTATATGATTTAACCGAAAACTTATAAAATATGATGGGATCTGATACGCTCTGCTAGGAATTCGACTGTGTGATTGATTCATCTGAATAGTGTGTTTGGGGCCAAGTTCAATTCAGATGATCTCTTTGTTTCTTTACATCTTTTCCATCCTGCATGCGAAACACATGCTAAATAACGTGTTTATAAAGAATTTTCTCATTTTTAGATTGTATCATTATTGAAATAACAAAAACAGTAATTATATTTATTTATATTTTAGTATCTTCTATTTCAATATAAATCATGTCTTCTATTACATCATTAATTCTTCGATTATTCAATTCTATGATTATTCGAATTCGTTTATTTCAATTAATAATATTCTGTTTATTTATGAATATGATTAGTAAGCATTTAACAATGCTATATCATTTAATTAAATTCTTTCGCCGATTTGTTCAAGTATTTTGTGCTATTAGTACGGGAAATCGTCATAGTTTGGTTAATGTGTTGGATGATGATTTCAGTATTGGAACTACAGTGGATAGATTATTTAACGAAAAGAACAATATTAGAGATAACAATAATCCTGATATTGATGATATATTTCATATATACTTATCTATATGAATCGTCTGATCAAATAATAAAACAATGTATGAATTGGAGATTTAATAAAGAATCAATTAGTATATTGACTAGTCAATCTGAAGATACAACAAATTATCCATATTCAACACGAGCAATTATAGCTAAACATGATGAATCAAATAGAATTATAAGTGCATTTCGAGCAACAGAACCAATATATTTAGTACAATGGCTGACTGATGCTTCAACAAATTTTATTGATATTAATAATGTATTCAATGATACAAACAATAATGATAATAAAGTTCAGTTCATGCTGGATTTTATCATGCATTAGGTTTCAATGCATTTAATCGTCAAAAACCAATTGATTTTACTGAAGTTACTGTAGAATCACCACTGTCTATTCAATTGTTATATTCCGTACAAAAATTTCATCAGAATTATTATGATTGTAAAATATCGATTACGGGTCATAGTCTTGAGGGTGAATTGGCCTCATTATTTAGTTTTGTTTTATTAGCTTATGGTTATGAATTATTAATTTGTGGTGTTTATACGTATGGTCAACCTTTAGTAGGAAATCGTCGTTATGCAGAAATATTAAATAATAAATTAGGAAATCGAATACATCGATGGGTAAATCATGATGATATTGTTACACGTATTCCAATTACTGAATTACCATTGATTGCAATGTATTATGATCAAACATTATATACAGATGCAATGGAAGCTGCAGCCAATAATAATCCATCAATATCAGATCCATTTCTTAAACATTACTATCATTCAGGATTAAGATTTAAAATTGATCATAAAGGGAATTTAACAAGACATGAGTTAATAGATCAAGAACCAATACTTGTGTATCAGGATAGACTTCGTTTATTCAATGTTATTTATGTAATTGGTAATTATATTCCTTCATCGCTCAATATAATATTGATAAGAACCATTGGTTGCTTTAATTTTGGCTGTTGAAATAAATAATCATTTTCCTGGTAATTATGCAAGAAAAATAAAAAAGATTGTCAACATTCACCAGAACATAGCTAAATAACAATGTTAAATAAAACAGAACCAACCATTGAATATTTATCATTATCATAAACTGCCTATTTATATTCTAGTTGTTTTTCATTTTTGTGTAAAGTAACTGATGTTAATATAATTTATAGGAAAGGTTGTGAATGTTCTTCAATACGATTTTTCATTGTACACACTTTTTTATAAACATTTGATGAAAAGAAAATAAAGAAGAAGTTTTTAAAACAAAATAGAGCAACAATAGACAAACTGTCATACCGAAAAACCTCTTCACATTAAAAGAGAAATTTTAAGAAAGTAAAAAATCATTTTTCATAGATAATTAATTGTTTTTGGAAAATGTCAAGAAAGTTTAGCTTCAGGTATTGCATTATTTGCACGGCATACAATAAGTGATAAAATATTTTCTATTAATATAACGGGACTATCAATTGATAAACTTGTTCGAAATTCTATCGAAAAAATTAATATTTTTCTAATGTATTCTTAATAAACATACGTAATGCAGTTAATTTAGCTTTTCATGATATTGAATCAACTCTTCGAGGTCCAGCTCGAATTTGACATTGATACATTCCATTATCTTCTAAACAACACATTTATTATTTTAATATGATGTTCACCTATTTCACAATTTTATCTTTAAAAACAAAAGAAAAGAAAAGAAAAAATAGCGAATAATCTTGGTGAGGATGACCAATAATTTCATAACGAGAATAAAATGATAAATCTCATGTTTATTCTAGTGTACACAAATTCATTTATACACCATATAACTTGACTCTCATCAAGAGGGTGTGTTCGACAACGAAAAATTAATGTTGATCCAATCAGTGTTTCAATATCGTGAGGTTCTTCAATAAATTTGTTATTGATATTTATACCATTCAGTAATTGACCTAATACTACTAGAACTAATAACATTGAAGTTCGTCATCAATCTACAAATACATTTAAAAAAAGTGTTAGCTTATCAACAAGAAAAAAGAAGCCATATCCCATCATGATGTCAATTAGTCAAAACCTATGAGAAGAACAACAAGAATAGATTAGTATCTATAGAATGATTAATATGTTAATTGTCTTCTCTCATTTTATATTTCTACTCAACAAGACAATGTTCAAAAAAGAGAAAAGAGAATAAAGAACAACTAGGTTGTGTCAAATATCAAATGAATTCAACTCTTTTTAAATACATATCTTCTCATAAAAAAAGGAAGTTTTTGTATCATAGTTCGTTCAATATGACGAATGAAGTTTGTCATACTCGAATGATTAATTCTTAAATAAAAGAAAAGAGAATTTGTTTGATCTCTTGAAGTGTGGGTGTGGATGTGGGACGAGGGTGTGAGTACAGCTATTTCTTCAACACAACTCACAGCCACATCCACATAAAAGTTGACTGGTGATAACGAAAACAAGAATATCATTTGGGGTGTGGGCTTGGGTGTTGGTGGTGTAGGTGGTGTGGGTGTGGGCGTGCGAAGAAGATAAACACATCCACACACACCCACACCCACAACCCACACCCAAAACCTAATAGAAACAGCTCTTCAAAAGAATTACTTGAAGATTTGCAGTAGTTCACTTCGGAAAAATCCACCTTCACAAACAGTTTTAAAAAAAATGCTTACTCCTCTCTCTTGGCTATACAGATTTCATACTATTCCTAGTTATTCTTTTGAAGAGCTGTTTCTATTAGGTTTTGTGCAGAATTTCACAGGCTATCTTTTGAAAAAAAGTCGAGCCAAAGCATAAAAAATTGAGCAAGACATTCAAAAAATACTGAAAAAGTGATTTATCACAGAAAAAAAGTAAAAAAAAACTTGATAAAATTTTTTCAATATTTTCACCAACGTGGCATTTTCTTATAGTTAATGCTAATTGAGTGAAACTTATGTTGAATGATAGCTTAGATGCTGCTCTTCAAAATGTATATATTAAAAATCATTCCACCTTTGGATATGGCAAAGATACAGCAAAAACTAAAATGGGGTCGTTACTTATCAAACACCCTTTATATGGTTAGATAGAGCTTGACGAGCTGATCCAGAATATGTGTTTTAATTTTTTTGGAGTGAGTTTTTAGTTAAAAATTCTCAGTTTTCTCGCATGAGCTACTGTGTCTCAAAAAAAAGAGAAAAAGTCAATTTTCAATAGCCAATCAACTTTTATTTTTTTCATTTACTTCAAATTCTAAAGCTGTTTGTTTCGAATTCAGCATATAAAACTGGGTGTGAAGGTGGATTTTTCCGAAGTGAACTACTGCAAATCTTCAAGTAATTC